CGTTGGACTATTGTGTCTGGAGTATTTTAGAAAGCAAGGTTGGCACTAAAAAATACCAAATGGGAATGCTGGGAATGGGCCAAAATACCGCAGAGCAACATTAGGTCAGCGTGTGACGATTTCATTGGCCGTTTAAAGGCCATAATTCGTGCCAAAGGTGACCAATTCGAATAAATCTAAACTTATTCTAAAATTTGATGCTATTTCCGACATTTTTTTCTTTCATTCAATGAAATATAAAAAAAATGTCAAAATTATGGCATTTGACTTTTTTGCAGTGTTTTTATCTTATCCGGTATATCTCTCATACGAGAAGGAGAATTCATGTTATTCGAAAATTTATACATTGTAATGTTCTTTATGGCCTTTGGTCGTTGCCAAGTAAGAGTGCCCATTCCAGTCCATATGTCCCTTCATATAAAGTTATGACAAAAAATTTTTGAGTTATATATTATCCAAAAATTTTCAAAATAAATTTAACATTTGATGTAGCTTCCTTATAACTGAACCTCACTATTTGAGTATACGGAAAATTTCAGATGTTGTTTTCCACCGAAGAAGCTGTATTTATGTGAATTAAATTGAATCTAATGGCCACGGATTAATTGTAATATAGTTTATGCTCCTTTCTGGCTTCCCTGGAAAGCATGCCGAAATTATGTTTATTGGACGTTTCTGTCGTTTGAGTCAAAGCCTAAAAGCGTTTTGATACTTTTTCTTTGAAATCTCAAAAGACCCCAACAATTTGGATATAATTCTCCCATAATTAGTATGTAGATTTATGCAATTATGCAGTACACGCCATTAAATAATAAAAAATATGATTTCAACAAACTATACGCTCATCTACAAAGAAAACACATCACTTCAAATGAAAAACAATCATTTCTTAAAAAAAGAGACTCATTTCATTTCACTTGAATATGAAAAATTGCGAACAACAACCGAAACTCACTTTACTTTCGAAATAAACAAATTAAAATGGGTGACACACTTTGTTCGTTCAATGTCAGTTTTTTTTTTAATTTTTTGCACTTTGCAAAAAATCCGAAATCTTAAAAAATCAGTACTGTGTACTTCGAAAATGGGATGACCAACAAGTGATGGCGCACTTGACAATATAACCGATCGTCCGACAGACCGTCTGTACGACTTATCAATGGTGGGTTTTGTGTCATAATTTCATTGTGTGACACCATTATCTGTGAAGTGATGTTCGTTTGCCGATATACATTTTGGCATTTGAATGTGAAAAATGATTTAAGATTTTCGCCAGACTTTGTTTGTGGCAGAGATTCATTGATGTGTGTCCCTGCTGTCAGTTTGTAGTGGTCATTAAAATTGGGAAAAGAACACACATTCGTAGACATGAAAAAAGAAAAATAAAGAAAGAACCACAACGATTCCAATAATTTTCAAATATTATTTGAAATCGAAAAATAACGAGAATAACACAAAACGTTTGAAATTGTATTGTGTGAATAGAGTGAACGCACATATAAAGTAAATATATTTCAAAGCATACTTTCAGGCACTTAATAAAACTTTGAATGTATATATGTTCTTATTTTTTTTTATTTTGTTGATAGATGATATTGTCGTTTGGGAGGCAATATTTAAATCGTTAATATTTTGATATTATATAAAACGTTTTGATAAACAATTTTTGTGATGCAATGACATAATTTTGTGACACATGTTTAATTTTTCGTTTCAAAATTTTAAGGGGTGAAAGAAGTTTTCATTTCACTCATTAAACGAATGGAAAGATCGTAAATTGGGATCATGTAAAATCCTGTAAATTTCTTTCACAAAAAATGTACAAAAGAAATATGGGAAAAAAAGAATCTCAGAATAAATTAAACATTATGTGGCAGAGGGCACTGAGTTATTTTCAGGCTTACGTTATATAGTCATACATATAGTAGGAGAAGGCCGTATTTTTTGTTGGCAAAACTGAGAAAACTACCTCACCCAGAAAGTACGAAAAATTTCAAAATTGTATTACAATCCTTCAAAATCAACATTTCAGCTATCAGAAGCTACTACTACGACTATTTTTTAATTTGCCTAGTAAAAAGTAGTAAAAGGTAACGTCATATTTGTGTGTGCTTCCACGAATTAAAAAAAAAAAAAGTAAAAAAGTATCGGTCGGTTTTGCCGACAGATGTATACCCTCAGCCAATATTCTTTTATTTAAAATTATTTTGACTTTTGTTATGATTATTCAAATGTTTAACCCCTTATGCAGTGGGCTCCGAAGGAATTACCAAATATTGGCCATTTCGTATCGGACCTAAATAAATATCATATATATATTGCGGCGTGCTATGTTTGGACTGTGTTGTGTTTATAGATATTCAAAATTTTGAGCCTTTGTAGGGGAGGTACCAGAAGGAGTGGACCGATATATCCCATCTTCACAACGGATCTTTTGTTAATGGAAATAATGGGATGTGTAAAATATAAAGAGAACCGGATGCTTATTTCAGATTTCATAAAAGTTTTGGTTATTCAAAACTTTGACCCTCTGTGGGGGAGGTACCAGGAGGAATATTCCGATCTTTACCGTTTTTTTAACAGATCCTATGTTGATAGAAATATTCAGATGTGCCAAGTCTAAATGGAATCCGATGTTAATTTTGGGTTTCATGAGCTTAATGGATATTCAAAATTTCGACCTTTTGTGGGGGAAGTACCTGAAGGAGTGGACCGACATATTCCATCTTACCACCAGATCTTTGGTTTATGAAAATATTAGGATGTGTGAAATTTTAAGACAATCGGCCTCTCACATCACATTATATGAGAGTTGTAATTATTCAAATTTTTTTACCCTTTGCGGGGGAGGTACTAAATGGAGAGGACCGATATTATCTATTTTTGCACCTGACCTAGAACTGACGCGAATATTAGTATTTGCAAAGTTGGAGCAAAATCGGATTATCGTTTCTCTATCTGTGAAAAAAATAAATACTTTTTGAAAATTTTCGACCATTTGTGGGGAAGGTACCAGAGGCAGTGGATAGATATTGCCCATCTCCGAACTCGATCTAAGTTTGACAAAAATATTACCAAGTTTACACAAAATCGGATACTCCCTTCGAGAGTTATCGTGCGCACCAGCCAGCCAGCCAGACGGACGGACATCCTAGATCGACTCCAAATGTTCTCAAACGGATTTGGTCCAAAGAGACCTAGGGTCTAAAACCATTATTTCGACTAGGCACGTTTTGACCGTATCAAATGACATATACCATCTGTAGCTATATATCTGAGGGTATAAAAACAAGTATCGGTCGTTTATGCCGACAGATGTATACCTCAGCCAATGTTCGATTATTTCAAAATATTTTGACTTCTGTTATGTCTATTCAAACCCTTGACCCTCTATGGGATAGGTTCCGAAGGGATTAGCCAATATTGTCCATTTCGTATCGGACCTAAATATATGTAATATAAATATTGCGACGTGCCAGGTTTGGACTATATTGGTTACTTACTATACTTTGGACTATATTGATTACTTAATTGGATACACCCTTCGAGGGTACAATTATAAATCTTAGCAAATGTGATATAAGAGTCCGATTGTCTTCAAATTTCACGCACTCCACTGTTAACAAAAGATCTTGTGTGAAGTTGGATGTATCGATATACTCCTTTTGGTGCCTCCCCCACAACAGGTCAAAATTTTGAATAACCATGAAGTTCGTAAAACTCGAAATGAGCATCCTATTCTTTTCAAATTTCACACATCCCAATACTTCTACTTAAGCAAGATCTGGTGTGAAGACGGTAGATATCGGACCACTCCTTCTAGTAACTCCCCCACAAAGGGTCAAAAATTGGAATAACCATGAAGCTCTTAAAACGCGAAATAAGCATCCGATCACATTCAAACTCGGCACAACCCAATACTTCTATCAACACAAGCTGTGTTGTGAAGATGGGCAACATCGGACCACTCCTTTTGGTACCTCCCCCACAACAGGTCAAAATTTTAAATAATTATAACTCTTATAAAACCCGAACTTTTCGAAATATTATCAAATATTTCAAAGTGAAGCACGTAGTTGATAAAATATCCAAATGTGATACTTTTTAATATTTTTATCAGACTTATGTCAGATACGAAATGGAAAATATTGGTCGACTCCTTGGGAACCTCCCCTATGAAGGGTCAACACTTGGAATAATCATAACGCAAGTCAAAATATATTTAAATAGCCGAACATTGGCTGAGGGTATGCAACTGTCGATAATACCGACAGATATCATTTAACTTGTTTCAAATAGTGGAGAGTATTTAAAGATCGGCCAGGAAGAACTTACTGCCTCTTCACTTTTTCCTTTAATTTCTTCAAAATCAGCTGTCTTGAGCAATGTCACTCTTTGAGTAAATGAATATATTTTAGCGTGGATATATTTTCAGAAATGCATGTTTATTATTTAACAACAATTTAAAATATTTTAATTTTTTTTTTTTTATTTCGAACCACTGTGCATCCGGATGACGAGATCGTGCTCTTATTTTCGTTGTCTTGCGATTTCGTTTTGTTTTATTTTTAGGTATCCAATGATCAGCAATGCAATGTCGACAATTAAAAATTTATTTTGCCATTTGGATACTTTGCCTCCAACCCTACCCTACCCTATCCCCTTTGGCAACAGCATCCACAAAAGGGGAGGTATGGTTGGTTTTTGGATGCCAAAGATGTTTCCTTTTGGTGGGAATTTTGTTGTGGAACAAATGTAGATTTAATGGAGGAAAAGCATTTACCCATACATTGACATACATACCGACGACAAGGTATGTACATCGTATATTCATTCTACTTTGTAACCGACCTATATCCGCATTCTGCAAATGATCTAAAGAGAGATATTTACCCATTCAATAAAAATAAGCACAAACAAAAGTGTTGATGGAGATTTCAATACCAGAAAACAGCAGCCACAATTTTGAATATTCTTTCAATACGGAAATCACGAAAATATTTATCTTTATTTTAATGGTTCTCCTTTATTAATATTATTATTTAATAAATTATATAGTTAAGAAAAAAATTTAAATGACTTCTATAAACTAAAGTAAAATGTGTATACAAGTCTGTGTCACTAATGAATTTTCGACACCAGTTTCTTTTTTTTACAATTCATTTTTATGTTTTTTTTTTTGTTTTAATATTTTACAAAATTTCTCTCAGTCGGCACTGAACATGGCACTCTCAAGGCTCTAGCCTTGAATGGTATGCATCTGCTTTCTTGAGAGGTGTCTTTTTTCTGGTCGTGGGTTTCGGTTGGTTGGTTGTCTGTCTGTCGGTTGTTTGGTTGGTTGGTGTAATCGAAAGTGGTGGTAGTGGTGGCGACGGCGACGATGAATGTTTGGCAAGGTTGGACTTTTAGCGTTACGATTTCTGTCTCAAATGCTTGGCTGGCGCTTGGGGGCGCAGGCAGACAAGCAGGATGATGGGACGGACTGGGTGCATAGAACGTGCATTTGCTACGGGATTTTCTACATTGTTTTTTGATTTTTTTGTTTTGGTTTCTTTTCATGAAAGTGTCTATAAAAATAAAAAAGAACGAAAGATAAAAAAAAATTAATAAAAATTCTGTCATAGATTCAAATAAAAGATTTCTACAGAAAAAAGAGAAAAACAAATGACAAACGAACAGAACGAAACACAACTCGGGCGATCACTGGGAAACAACCACCAACATTTGGAGAGAGAAAGAGAGAGCGGACTAGACGCCACACATAGTACTTGCATTGCATTATAAAAACAACAGCCTTAGAAGAGAGGGTAAAAGTTGGCATCCTTTAAAATGTCAAATGAGTCCACTGGCGAGCTTACAGACGATGCCGCCTTGGTTGTGCTTGTCGACGAATTGAAGGAATTTCCAGTTTGATTTGAGTCCACACTTAATTCGGAATCCAATGAAGCCGGTGTAACACAAATGCTCTCCTGCGGACTAAGCATCGAGAGAACATTTGCCGAAGCTGAATCGGGGGTTATTATCGCCGAAGCTGTGTCTCCCACGTCTTGAATCACTTCGAGATCTGTACCATTGGCCACCACCAACAGTTCTTCTTTGGCCACTTCGCTGACATCGTTCAGTGTTTCCTTGACCTTCTTTCGTTTCTTGATCTTCTTAGGTCGTACACTGACCTCGGAATACTCTTCGATAATGTCGGTAATGGGATCAGCATAGCCGACACTGTTTCGTGGGGAATATAGGCCGCCATAGGAATCCTCATTTGTAACACTGCTACGGGAACTGCGCCGTGATCGGGATTTACGTTTCGGCGAATCTGTTTCCATTTGTATGCTGCTGCTACGTCGGCTATAAATCGGCGGCTCGTAGTCGTCATTGTCATCGTCAATGCGGTTCAACACATCCACACTGCCTTTGGAGCCTTTGCGTGTTTTCTTCTTGGTTTTCTTTTTCTTTGGTTTTTCGATTTCCTCTTCCACCACCGTTTCTTGGGTATTGCTATTCATTTCGCCTAAATTTTCTAGGCTTTCGGGCTTTGGATTTTGTTCTCCTTCCTCGTCCACTTCTTGTTGTGTTGGTAGCCTCTCCGGACTCTGGCTGAAGAGCGTTACACTCTCGCCTCCCAAACTGAATTTACGAATATCCACCGATTCTTCATTTTCATTTTCCATTTCTTTTGTCTCCTTGTCCATATCCCACTGACCTTCCTGCATCTGAGCATCTGAGGCGTTGCCATTGGTTTTCGAATTCTCATTGGCTTCGTGAATCTCTTCATCGGACAAGCGGAAATTTTTACGCCAATTATATTCCCGTTTAGGTTTATAATTCAAATCGACTTCAATGTCATCGGGAATAGCGGAGGCCTGCAAGACCGTATTGTAGCCGTAACGTGAGCGTAAACGTGTCGATTGACGGGCACTTACGTTGGCATCTCCCAAATATCGCATTTCAGCGTCTTTTCGCTCACTTTCAATGAAACTCGAGGAGAACTCAATGTTTTTCGACTTCTTGTGGGTCTTGGACCACAGGGCATACTGCTCCTCCATGTCACGGACAGAGTTCTCAATGGAACTGCTGCTCATCTCATTGAGTAGGCTATCGAACTCCCTAAGGATGCCGGACTGTTTGCGATTCCGGATTGCTTCATCGTAAATTTGATCAATGGCAAAGGAGTCAGAGTCGTAGGGCGAGCTACTGGCACCACCTCCCACCGCACCCTCAGAATCGTCTTGTTCGCTGGCAAATATTTCATTGACGTCGCGCACCTGCTCCCAATCTCTGGCCTCACGACCTGCATAACGGTCCATCTCGCGCTCAGCCTCCTCACATTCGGATTGCTCGTGATGGGACTCTTCGGCTGGACCACGCTCATTGAAATCGGAAATGTCTTCATCGATTTCATCGTCCACTTCAATGACTGTGCGACGATCATCACTGCCATTGGATTCCTCCTCGTCGTCGTCGTTGTCATCGTCGCCATCTGCTTCGTAGGGTTCAATCAACTCATCGGCCACCTCACTATTGTCATTCTCTTCGGCTTCAGCTTCCACCACATCCATATCCACATCGACTTCACATTCGTCGTTGTCTTCTTCTTCTTCGCCATCGCCTGCGGCCTCAACTCCACTAGCCTCCACCTCTAGCTCTTGTGAACTTTCCTTGATTACGAACTCATTCGAATCTTCTGAGTAGAAATCTTCCCGAGTCCAAGTCCTGGAACCACTTCGTGTCCTAACCTCAACCTGCTGAATAAAAATATAATCATCGCTCGGATATTCCTCAACTGGTTGCTCTTGGGCCAAAGAGAAACGACGAAAATGATGGTACTCCTCGGGTTCCAGGTCAGCGTAGTCGTTATCCTGCCACTGAATTAAAATATCGGGTTTTGTTATTAGAGCCGAATCAGAGGCGCGACGATCTTCATCCAAGTAGTGGGGATTTAAATGACGCGAGAACTCTTGGAAGTTATTGATGTTGCAGATCTCGTCTAAAGCCTTGTCTTTGAGTTTTCGCTTTGTGGACTCAGCTTCAATGGCGGCCAGGTCGGCTAATTCCGCCTCACCCAAGGGAGAACGACTTTTGCTGGCCGATCTTTGAAATTCAGCATTTCTACGTCGCATGTCCTCCAATTCCATTGAAGACTCACTCTCAGCGGAAAGGGGTCCTTGAGTTTTGGGTATGGCTCCGGTATTACGGGCCTCACTCGATCCTGTCAACTCTGCCAAGACCATGTCTTGAATATGACGCCTCTCAGCCGCTGTCATTTGTCCTGGCTCCGCGGGAGACTCTGAAAATGAAGGAGTGGGACTGCGTGACCGGCGAAAACGTTCCGCCTCCCTTCGCATTGCCTCATATTCGGGGCCTACTAGATCCATGGATTCCCCCACATAGGTAGAACGCTTGAAACCCTTTTGCAGCATTTCCTCCTTGATGCGATCAACGTCACGCATCTCTTCGGATATGGTGCGATCGTAATCGGGTGTGGTGGGGGATTTCCTTAGCAATTTGTGACGTTCGGCCATTGGGAGGCCAGTCAAAAGATCTTTATTTTCCTCTTCGTCTTGATCCTCCAAGTTTTCTTCATTGCTGAGATTGGGACTCAAATTAAGCGGCGATAAGGTGCGCAGCTCTATTTCCTCCGATGCATATTTCATTGTTTCCAAGGCTTCAACGTCCAATTGTTTTTGTCGTTGGGCCAAGGAAGTTTCAAAGACCTCTGTGTTCTTCGTAAGAGTTCTATTCAGTGAACCCTCCAAATTCAACATGACATGAAAGTCGGAATCTTGCGAAGGGGACACAGATCTAGAGGGGTTACGTGAAAAAGGAGTTCCATCGTTTGCCTCCGGTGATCGGGATGGTGTACGGGATCGTGATAAGCGACAACGCTTGGCCATTTCACTGGTCTCCTCGGAGTTTTCTACAAATTCATAGACATATTCCACGGTCAATTGAGGGGGCTCGGGGGTGCGGGCCCGTTCCTCCAGATCTTGTTTTATATTATCGTTAATTTCAATCATTTTGCTGCGCCGTACCTCCAAGCTTTTGCTAAGATTTTCAGCTGTTGGTAAACGCATCGGACTCTTGGATCGTGAACGGGATCTGGCAACACGCAGCGACTGCACCAAAGAGTCCATTTGCTCTCTTGAGCATTCCTCATCCGCTTCAGTTTTTGCACGCAATTCCGCCTCAGGTTCAGTTACTTCTATCGATACTAGGGGAGCAGTAAATGGTGGAGCAGTACCGGAAGATTGCATTTGCTGTGAAAACATTTCATTCAGCTCATCATTACCTTTAAGACGTAGCTCAATGTGTTCCGCGCTTGGTATTGGTGAATGACAACGGGAGCGAGAACGAGAGCGGCTGCGTTCTGCTCTAAGTGTTTGAACCAATAAAGTAACTGCTTCACGGCTACAATCGTCCTCATCATGGGATGCAGAAGCTTCACTTTCAATTGAAACTAGGGGAGCTGTAAAGGGAGGCGGGGGAATACCAGATGAGTGCATTTCCTGGGCAAACTTCTCGTTGAGTTCTTCCTGACCTTTGAGCCGTTCCTCTATATGTTCAGAATCTGGTATTGGGGAATCACAACAGGAGGAGCGAGAACATGATCGGCTTCGTTCTGCCCTGAGTGACTCGACCAACAAACTAACTGACTCTCGACTGCAGTCTTCGTCATCATCTGGCGAAGCGTTGGCATCGGTGTTCTCGTTGTCCAAAGGCATTAAATTAGATTCGACAAGTTTGTCAAAAACCTCCTCATTGTGTTGGATTAATTTGTTGCGGCGCGTTTCCAAGCTACGTTGAATATTCTCGGCCGTGGGAAGCGGAGATTTTGATCGGGAGCGAGATTGCGATCGACTGCGATGTGATTGTACATCAACAGCCAAAGTCTGAGAGTGGGACCGACTACGCTCAGTTCTTAATGTCTCCACCAATTGACTCATCGACTCCTTGGAGAAATCCTCCACTTCTACTACTACTTCGGCTTCGGGATCAGTTGATTCCGGCAACAGTTTCGTTTCAATTAATTTTTCCAATACATCCTCATTGTGTTTGATCATTTTATGGCGACGTGTCTCTAAGCTGCGTTGAATATTTTCCGAAGTGGGGAGTGGAGATTTTGAGCGTGAACGTGATCTGGAACGTTGGGCACGTAAATTGGCCACCAAGGCGTTCATGTCCTCATTTTCGAATGTAGAATCTGTAGCCATTATTTGGGAGCTGTCATCAATTACATTTACCAGGGGCAGAGCAAACTGGCCATCCCTGATTCCCCCAGACTGATCGTCGGCAACATATTTCAAATGATTTTGTACGGAATTTTCCGTATCGTAAGTTCCATCCATCAGATTGTGGGTCTCGTTGGCTGCAGAGTTTTCATTGTCTTGTTGCTGGAGGTTGTCCCAAAAGGTGCCTATATTTTCTTTGGTAAACTCGTTGGCATCAAATTCTTCACCTGTATCATCGTAGATTTCAACAACGGAGTTGGAGGAGTCCTCACTGTTCATCATATCACTGGCATCACAAGAGACGTTTTTCGGTTCTGGGGTGCTGGGCGCAGTATTTGCGGGTGAGGGATTTCGTGAGGTTGAACGCGAACGTGATGGATTCACCGAAGCCGTAAAATCGTAGAAATCACTTAAACCCTCCATTATCAGGCCATGTTCATCACGCCATGTGCCAAAATCTAAGGGCTTATCAACGGTTATTTTTGGGGTATTCATCGCCGAAGTTGGACCGGAGCTGGGCGAGGGGAGTTCATTGGACTCCTTCCAGCGTTCTTCGTATTGATCCATTTCTTCTATGCGTGGACTACGTCGTAAACGAGGCGAAGCAGAGGAACGAGAAGGTGATGCTTCCTTCTCCGCTGTTGAGGAGGTTTGAAGCTGTGCGTTTGAGGGCAAAAGAAGCGGCAAAGCAAATAGCGTATATATGGGAGAAGCATTTAAAGCAAAGAGGATAGTTATGTAAAAAGCAGCAAGTTTTGAAAGAATGATTAATTTTGATTCGCATCGATGTGTGTGCGATAAAAAACCGATGAGGAATGTCTTTGTGTAGAAGTATAGTGCTGGTAGAAAATGCTAAACTCTACCCCAGTATGCAAGATGTTCTTTTCAACGTATGTAGATCGCATAAGTTAACTGACGTTTTTTTTTAGTCTAAATAAAAAATAACTAACTAAATGACAAAAATGATTTCTGTTGATTTTCTATCTACGTACGAGCCATAAAGTATGCAACGAATAACTACTTAAACTTTTTATTCGAATTTGAGCGTGGGAAAGAGGGAAAAAATCGAGCATAAAGAGAGCGATGCAGTTTCTACTCTTGCCGAGCACACTTTTAGTTATTGTCATATTTAAATTTGTAAGTATGTGTATTTTCTCAATCTGCAATGTGCGTAAAATTCTAAGTCGATTTAGCGATGTCCATCTGTCTGTCTGTCCGTCTTTCGAACGAATTGAGAGGGAAGGCTAAAATTTTGCACACATGTTTATTTTGCCAGTAGGCAGGTTAAGCTCGTAAATGGGTCATATAGCCCCCATATAACGGTACCTCCCGATATTCGGTATTTCGATAATTTAAGCGACATTATTCATCGGAATTGTTTCAAATTTAGTATTTGAAGTTTGAAATGGATACTACAGCCTAAGACAGAAAATTGTTTGAGCAGGTCCACGTCTTCGTATAGCTCCCACGGTACAGCCCTATATTCTGCATTTTGATGATTTTAGCGACATTATTCACCGGAGTAGTTTCAAATTACGTATTTAGAGTTCGTAATGAGAACTACAGTCTGTGACAGAAAATTGTCTATGCAGGTCCAGGTCTTCGTATATGCCCCATATATCAGTACCTCCCTATATTTGGTATTTTGACAATTTTAGGCTCAATACTCACAGAAATTGTTTGAGATGTCGTATTTGAAGTTCGTAATGGAGGCAACATCCTGTGAGAGAAAATTGTCTATGCAGGTCCAGGTCTTCGTATAGCTCCGATATAACGGTACCTCCCTATATACGGTATTTTGGGGATTTTAGCTACATTATTCACCGTTTATTTCAAATTTCGAATTTGAATATGGTAATGGCTTACAACAAACAATGCCTATGTAGGTCCACTTCGTATAAACCCCAATATAAGGGCTATATTCGGTATTTTTAAGATTTTAACAGAATTTTTTAACGGATTTTATTTTTTTAAACATTTCCAAATTTGTTCCAAATAGTGGCTATTTAAAGTTCGGTCCGGCAGAACTTACTGCTTTTTAACTTGTTCAAAATAATTTTGATGTTTTAGGGTTGTTTTAAGGTTGTCACCTAAATTAAGACAAAATACCACCCATTACTTGTGACATTAAAAAAATTGACTTTTGGATTGATTCGTTCAGGTCTAAAAGGTAAGAAAAAGCTATAATTGAAGAGTCGTCAAAAATTGGTTAAAGGAGTCGTCGAAGAATGTGCTCGGGCTACAACTTAAATAATGGATGAAGAAGAGTCCTCCAAACTTTTTTTTTTGAAAATTGTCAAATATTTTTTGGTGAAAACGTTTTTAAGAACCTATCCACACATCATGTCAATGTCATATGTAAAGTGATTTTATCAGCATTTTTCTTTTGCAATTCTATAGCATACTTTTCAGCGCTCTCCAACATTTTTAAACTAAACATATTATGGCTGATTACTATATCTTTCCGATAGATAAAAAAATGATGTTGTCGGACAAATAAATCGTTTTTCGTAATTATGAACTGTCTATAAGCAACAGTTCAGACCACCTTCCTTTCATCTAACGTAAAGTATACTGTATTCCTGTTTTCAATATTTTATATTGATAATTTGACAATAACAGCAATGTTAATTTGAGGCATTTTTTCTGTGACTAATTTCTATTTGGTTAGCCATTATCACTCCAGACTTTTTTTCAAGAATAATTACCGATTTATTTTACGAAATTAATTACAAATTAGTTTTTTTTTCAACGAAGATCCAACTGTGAAAAATATTCAGTGACTACCAGTTATATCAACAATAAGTAATCATTTTATTAATTAAAACATGTAATAATGAAAACCCGATAATGTGATCTTTATCCTTTAATTTTCCTAATCGTGGAGCAACAAAACCGATAACTGCAGATATGGATATATAAATTAAATGTTTATTTAAAAATCACAAAGTGTAGTCCGATGGAAAAACGGTTATCATATCCGATACAGCAGATGGGTCAACACTTATTTTTGGGCCATGATAAGTATAGTATTAATGAAGTATAAGTACGCTACAAAGTATTTTACGTTGGTTTTTGAGACCGCCTAAAAGTATGCTACTAATATTCTAAATTTAAAATATAATATAATCCTATCTACATATGACTAACATCATATGATAATTAGTCTTAAGATTGCATTTTGAGAGGTCTGACTTTATGAGTTGTGATAATTTTAACCTTATGCCAGCAGATGGCAGATATCACGAATGAAGTAAAAATAGGTCGCATTGAAATAACGACTTCAGATCTTATGTCTCTCTAGACCAGGGCTAGCCAAACCTAGTCCCATGTGAAATTCAACACCTCTCGCAGACAATCATAGATTTGTGTATAAAACTCTACATCGATCAGTAAACCACCAGAACTGTTCACATGTTTACTAACAACAAAAATTGCTTTGCAAATAGTCAGTAGCTCTTCAGATTTCAATGAAATAGGAGGTCCGGTCGCTTGATTTTCGTACTTCGCAAAGAATTAACACACACAATGTTTACCGAGAGAGTGAAAGTTACTCTCTCGATGTTCATGTCTGTGAAACATACACGATCCAACTCTTACATGGCATGTCCTAATTGATTTTGATTACCTCAATTAGTGACTAAAAAAATGGGACAAAAATGGGCCTCATTGAAATCACGGCGTTTGATCCTATGTCTCTATGGACGAAATACGTTTTGGAAACTGTGGAATCGAACTTGTCATATGCGCCCGCCTAAGATCCAGGGCGAAGGTTATAACCCTCAAATCCCATTCAACACCCTAAGTCTCATAACTATACGACGAATCTACGGTTATTCACCTCACATCTGTTCCGATGGCACAGATTACCGAACTTTTGTGTCAATATAACCTTATCGTCTGTCTGAATGAAATATAGTGAAAATCACAAAGGGAGCTTCCGATTAGAAACTACTTAAAATATCTTGAATTATCTGTCAAACCATTTTAGAAACGTATTCAGATATCCGATTTCAAAGAGCAAGACGGTTCGACTCTCCAAGTGTTTGTAGGCTTGAACGTTCGAACTTGTTCGACAATGTTGTTCACGAACCCCTCCGGAATTGCGGGTTTTAACAACTTACTTGGATTTTTATTAGGGGTTTCTAACTTGACAATTTTACAATTTTAGAAGTAGCTCTTGGATATTATTTGGAAAATAACTGAAGGACTAACGAATCTGGAAAATCTTTACATTCGGGTTAACTTGTTCCTTGGAAATCTAAAAATATCGAATTCCTGCATACTGGGATATTTCGTTTAACAATTCGAAACACAAAAAAACAAATTTCATTTACTTACATTTGTGTTATTATCACTTCTGGCAGTATCTTCTTTGGTAGCTGATTCCTCTTCCTATAATCGAGAAAAAGCAAAATTCCATTAGTTTCATAATTAATCCTTGGCCACACACCCCCACATACCTTCTGTTCCTTATTTTCCTGCTTCTTTAGGTTATTCAAAGCTTCTTCATTCTGAATTTGAGTGGCTTCCTCAAACGATGAAGCACTTGGCAGATTCGTGGCTGTGTCATAATTTAATTCCTCGCTAGATGTTGGCTTTTCGACGTCACGTTCCTCTTCGATGGAAATGGCTTTTTCCCGTTTCCAAAATTCGGTGTCTTTGTAATGTTCCGGCACAACATCACCCCAGGGATTAATGGTTTCCTCGCCCAAACGTTCCAAGGAGCTGCGCAAACTCTCATCGCCGGAACGCATATCTTTGGCGGGACTCCTCTTATGACGTCGATGGTGACCTTTCACCTTCAGTGTTGGCTCGCTGGTGTAGCGTATTGGCGTAAACTCTGAATCGCCTCCCGCCTTCATTTCCTCCTCCTCCAATGAGGTGAACATTTTTAGTTCTTCATCGCGCGATGTTCGAGATTCACGTGATGAATTCGAACTACCGCTCGATCGACGTTTCTTGAATGCGATACGGCGTCCAGAACGATCTTCACGCGACAGAGGTCTGCTTTTGATACCATCGAGCGAACGTAAATAATCATCGGAATATTGTTGGGAGATGGTGGTGTCCTCACCATCAGGTTCTTGTCGTTCCTGCTGGAGATATTGAGATTCATTGCTGGTGGCAACCTCATCGGAGGGTTGGGTACTGAATGAGGACTGTTTGCTGGAAGGTGGCTCATTGGAGGAGGCATCATCTGATATGCCGGGAAACAGTAGAGACTTGGTGGATATGGAATAGGAGTCATCACTGCTTTGGGCCAACTGAGTTTTCACGCGATGCGAGACTGGTGTTTCATCTGTTTCCAGAGGATAGACAATCCGTTTAATGCAGGGTTCTTCGATGGCCGGGGTTTGTGGTGCGCTATCTAGACTCGATGCAAATTCTTTCTTTTGCACCGCCTCTTGCATTAATTCCTGCAAGCTGGCCATTTCCTTCTCAGCTTCCAGGAAGAGGCGTGCATTTTCCTCAATACGTTTCTGCTTAAGTTCGCGGTCACGTTCGCTGCTGAATAGCCGTTGGCTTTGTTCCTCTTCGGATTCTTCGCCGAGTTGTTCACGAGCTTTGAGAATGCGTTGCAAAAGTTCAGCCTCTTTTTGGGCACTAGCCTCGTCGTGTTGTTCGGCTATGTCACGCTCTCTAATGGAAGCTATGAGCTGGCGTTCATTGTCGGTCAACTCTTCGGAGTTTTCAGAGTCATGTTGTTGTTCGGACATGCGTTGTTTTTCTTCCATTTGACGTTCGGCTTCCAAAAGTTTTCTTTCATTTTCCTCTCGTTCGGCTTGTTCCTCGGCCAGACGTTGTTGTTCTTCTTGGCGGCGTTCAGCTTCCAAAAGCAGGCGTGCGTTTTCCTGCTCTTCTTCCTCCTGGCGACGTCGAGCCTCTTTTTCTTCTTCTTCTTTTTCTTTGGCTTTGCGGCGTTTTTCCTCTTCTTCCTTTTCGGCCTCCTGTTTACGTTTGCGTTCTCTCTCCTCTTCTTCTTGTTGCCTTTGTTTACGTTCTCTGTCCTCAGCTAAACGTTTTGCCTCTTCTTCTTCGCGTTGTTTTTGTTCTCTTTCTCGCTGTAACTCAGCTTCGCGTATTTTTCTCTCATTCTCTTCGGCCTCTCTCTGTTGGCGAGCTACTTCGGCTTCTGCCTCTTGCAATTCTTTGCGCGTTTGTTCGGCAATCTGTTTTTGTTTGTCCAGTTCTTTTTCCAAATCGGCTCGTTTCAGATCGCGTTCAGCTTTTTTATTGAGTTGCTCTTTCAGGCTGTCAATATCAGCTTGATTCGGATCGATTCGAAAACCGTCCTCGTACATGACACCATCTTTCATGGTCTTCTTTCCAGTAGCCGCCTCGGTGGCCTTGGCAGCGGCCAGTTGTTCGCGCATATTTTCTTGTAGGCGTGCCAAACTGTCTGTGTCGCCGCTAATGGCGGCATCCGTGCCGTCATGGTTGCACGACCAGTGATAGAGGTGACGTACCACATAGAGAAATTCAACTGCGCCGATATAGCCGATGACTAGGGTAAACATCAAATCGCCAAAATCCGATAGTAAATCACCCATGTTGACATGCACTGAACAGCGGCGACTAAACTGGCAAAGTGCGGGCTGATGCTGCTTCTGCTACTGTTGGTGTTGTTGTTGATGGTTTTATTTTCCGTTGTTTTATTTTCGTAGTTCCGATTCTGCAGGTATTTTTAACGCGTAGTCTCGAAAACCAAATAGAATCCCACTTGCGTAATCGCGTTGAATAGATCAGAAATTGCAATGGGACAATCGGAAAATTGGGAATTCACTTTTTCCTTTGCTTGGCTGGGCTTGTGCGTGCCTTTGTCACTTGTTATCACTCAAAATGCTGGCCGTGCAATAATTTCAATTCAAATTTTTTGCAAATATTCACAGCAGCAACAAAAAAAAAAACACTTTTCATTTGCCAAAAGCAAAGCAAAACGGTCGCGGCACTACGGCGACCTTATATAAAATTCACAACACCAAGCGATTGTGTAATTCACCAACTGAAAAATATTTTTCGTTTCAATATTTCAAAATTTATGATCACTTAATGGACCATTGACAGGCCCTGTTTAACTTTTATGTTTTTTTTTTTTTTCAAAGTTGATGGTCACAAATTTTCCGCAAAAACGAAAAAATAAAACCGAACGGGTGGCACCAATTAATCAAAAGTTTCAAAAATTTTTACCACCACCACCACTAACCGTCCGCTACTACCGTCCGTTTTGCACTTTAGGTTGTGGATTTCCGATATCAAATGTTGTTCGAAGATGTTGTGTCTGTCGTGTTAATCGATCGATATGCAACTAATCAGATCTATTGATTGTTCGTTAATGTCTTTTCGGGAAGGAAGTGCGCTCTCCGCTTTCTTTCGAACCGCAACAACGAGAGTTGCATTCAGCTGGGGCGAGGGATCGTTGAGCGGTCAATTGGCGAATTGGGAGCACTGAGAAGAAAACAAAACGTTGCAAATTTGTAAAAAAATAAGGAAAACAGTAAACGCGTGTCGTTGTGAGCGTTGATGAATCTCGTTGTAAATCGCTGAAACCGGCCGTTATATCCGTCCGTCCGTCTGTCCGTCCGTTGTTGATTGATACACCGCAAATCGATACGAAAATCAATTTAAATTTTTTGTTGGCAAAAACTAGAAGAGGGTGATGATGAGGATGATTTGTTTGTTTTTATTTTTCGTTTACTTTTTGTTTTTTGTGTGAACTAATTTTCCGTTTGCATGTCGTTTTGTCGTCCGGCTGCTCGACCGACGACGATAACAAGAACAACTGAGGGAATTTTATTTTTCTTTAGATGCGAATGAACGGCTTTTCAAGGTAGATATCCACAATACACGCGTCGTTTTCGTTTTTTTTGTCGTCGTCGTTTTCGCTGGCAAATGCCAAATATTTTCACTGCACCTTATTTTCGGTGTTGTGGCTATTCGCTTTCAAAGTTTGTTAATGATTGTTTTGGTCTATTCGACAGAGACCAAACCAAACCAAACTCACCAAATATTCAATTCAAAACAATTTGGCGATGCGAAAACGAAAACAAAGTGTAAAGAATGCTACAAACACACACACATACATATGGGTATATCTGGTGGATATTGTCATAGATATTAATGTGCGGAAGAGGAGACGACGTATAACTCTGGCTGTGCACGGTGGTTTGCAAGGATTATCAAAGGAAATTACAACAAAAATGTTTCCTTGCAATTTAATGATATTATTTTTAGTAATTTTAATTCAATTCTAATTGAAAAAGTTCTCAAATTACATATAGAACAGGTTAAAAAGAATCAGTGGGTTTTGCCGACTGGTGCATACCCTCAGCCAATATTATATTTTTATAGCCTCAGCCATATGGCTAGAGACATCATTTGATACGGTCAAAACGTGCCTCATCGAAATAACGGTTTTAGACCCTAGGTCTATTTGGACCAAATCCGTTTCACGACATTTGGAGTCGATCTAGCGATGTCCGTCCGTCCGCCCGTCTGTGTGGCTGGTGTACACGATAAGTCTCGAAAGGAGTATTCGATTTGATCCAAACTTGATACATATTGTACATATTGTTGTCAAACTTAGACCGCGTTCGGAGATGGTCAATATCGGCCCACTCCTTCTAGTATCTCCCTCACAAAATGTCAACATTTTCAAAGTAAATAATTTACTGCAGAGAAAGAGAAAGGATAATCCGATTTTACTCTAGCTTTGCAAATCCTAATATTTGCATCAGTACTATGTCAGGTCTGAAAATGGACAATATCGGTCCACTCCATTGAGTACCTTCCCCATTTTTGAATTATTATAACTCTAATAAAATGTGATGTAAGAGTCCGATTGTCTCAAATTACACACATTACAATATTTTTATCACCATTCCTTCTGGTACCTCCCCCACAAAGGGTCAGAGTTTTAAATAACAAAAACGATCATAAAATCCGAAATAAGCATCCGGTGCTCTTCAAATTACACACATCACAATATTTTTATTAACCCAAGGTCTGATGTGAACCTGAGATTGATAGGGAATTTATGATTTCGCATAAAATTGAATATAATTGTTCGATTTCCTTCAAATTTTGCACATACCAATATTTAAACACGTATTAGATAAATTATGAAAATGGAATACTTCGGTCCGCCATATCTGCTACCCCACGCATATTTCCACATTTTCCAAAAAATGCCCATAAATTATATAAACTATAGAAAGTAGTCGATATAGCCCAAATCTGACACGTTGTAATATTTAAATCAGTCTTAGGTCCGACACGAATTGGTCAATATTCCCCTCCCCCATAAAGGGTAAACCGTTTGAAAAATCATAACTCAAGGCTGACAGATATATGTCAGAAAAACCGACTGATACCATTTTTCTTATCATAATAAAAATTGGCCACCACCATATTTAAATCCTAAAATCCTATCAGAACTCTATCCATTCACCCAATACGTAATTTAGCGCTATTTAGTACTTTTCGTACAAATATAGAGCGCATTGCTAAACCACCGCCAAATCTCAAACACAGATACCATCAGTAATCTAAACATCAAATTTCAAATTTTTATCTCCATTCCTTCACCCAATACCAATTGTAGAAGCATTTAGCTCTTTCCATGCAGTTAAAGTACGTATTTTCAGAACAATCTCCTCAGATACCAAAAGTTACCTCAGTATCAAATTTCACGATTTCAGCTCTGAAATTTTCCCCATTGCAAAATTACGTACCATATAGAACAATTATAGTACGCAGATCCAAACCCAGCTTCCTCTGTCAATCATCGATACCAACGGCAACATTCATATCAAGATTCCACCTCTATCCCATCACCCAATAACAAATTTAGTACTAATTAGTACCTTTCGTACAACGTTGGTACACATTTCCAAAACCACCTTCATATCTCAAACCTAGATATCAACAGAGAGCTTAAATAAAATTTCGGGATTCCAGCTCTATCCCTTCACCTAATATCCGATATGATACAAAATTGTTACAATTTAGTACTTTTTGAAAAAGTATAGTACACATTTCTAAAACCACCTCCATATCTCAATCCCAGGTACCAACAGAGACCTCAATATCAAAATTCATTATTGAATTTAGTAAATTTTTGTACTTTTTGTACAAATATTGTTAGAATTTCGAAAAATCCTTTGGTTTGCATATTCTACACAATATCAAAGATACTTGTTCCAAATATTCCAGCTCTATTCGTTCGAAAAATATAAAATTTAATACTATTTAGTACTTTTCGTACTTTTTAGTACGAATTTCCAAGTCCCCGACATGTTTCAACCGCACAAAAGGTGATCCTACTGCCAAATTTTAGATTTCCAACTCAATCCCTTACCCATATAACAAATTAGGTACCATTTAGTGCTTTTTTAGTACGTATTTCCAAAACCCCATCCAAATCTCAACCCTACACACTAACAGTGATCATTATGCCAAATTCAAATCCAATTTCAGGATTCCAGCTCTATCCCAATTTTCCAACGCTTTTAATTTCCCGACCAATCCGTTCAATATTTAAAGTTGTTATACTTAGTACTCATTTCCAAAAACGCCTACTTATATCAACACTACTTCCCAGACTTAGTTTTTTTTTACCAAATGTCAAAATTTTAGCTGCATCTGTTTACAAAATACCAAATGGTACGAAATGTATTCCTATTTAGTACTTTTAGTATACTTCCAGTCCGAATTTCCAAGTATGTAGAGTATCAAGTATGTTTTGCTCGTTTTCAAGTAGGAGTACAATCGCTCGAAGTAGAGCAAGTTCTACTCTTGCCGAGTACTCTTCCAGTTTTGGTCATGCTGAGTTTTATGTGTAACTACCTCCACCTTTGGGTAAAGGAAACATTAGAACCTAACATGTCCCACAAACACACATTTTTAGACATATTCATGGGAAAATGTGCCAAAAATCCTCAAAATACCAAATATCGGGAGGTATCGTTATATGGAGGCTATACCAAAGCGTGGACCTATACATACAATGTTTCGCCACCGGAGCTAGAACCCATCATGACCAATAAATACCAATTTTTAGACAAATCCTTGAAAAAATTTTGCAAAAATAATTAAATACCGAATATCGGGAGGTGCCGTCAGACAGACGGACATCATGCTGATTATGAATATATATACTTTATGGGGTCTACGACGAATATTTAGGAATGTTACAAACGGAATGACAAAGTTAATATACCCTCCTTTCCAAGGTGGTGGGTATAAAAAAAACACATGTTAGGTTGGATGCATATATGCTATTGTTCGGCAAACAAAATAATGTTTTTCTCTCGGTCTCACATGTAGGGTGAACACTTACTCTAATTCGAGCATTTCAACTCCACTCTTATTTTTCAAACAGGATTAACGCGTAAGCACTCTCACATAGAAGAAAAGAGTGGAAAGTAACCTTCGTGTAAAACTCGTGCTCTTTGAGCACTCCCTCTAACAAGTATGTTTCGTTTGTGTGAAGAAACGAGCAAATCTGAACATAAACCAGAGACAAGGCCAGAACTATTTTATGAGAAATATGGTATCGATGTAAGAAGTAACTTTATTCCCTAACTAATTTATATAAGTTTAACTTTTTACTTAAGATTACCTAATTATATTTTTTGGAATTTTGAATGTTTGCTTTTTGATATAAGCTGTTCTATCGTTATTTCATATTTTGGGTTTTTTATTCGAACCAAAAGTTCAAGTTCATTATTGAAACATTCTATTCAAATCAGATGACAGCACAACTTTGCGTCACTCTTTTGATCGATCAGCAGCTAGGTTAACAATTAAAATTTGAATCACCACCACCACCTGTCTGTGTATCTCCCTTCCGACTAAAACCGAAATAACTTGTCTTTTCATTGGATTGCTCATCCCAGACAAATGGCCACTGTGCTAAGCAGAAATAACGTCATCATTGTTGTCGGTTTTTGTTTGCTTTTCGATTTTAAATGCCACCAATTTTTTTTTGCGAGAGAGATTTGCGACAGAATTTCTCTGACTGTGGTTCTTTTTCTGTTAATTTGCTAATTCAATACACATATTTATTTAATTTGCAAACAAGTTAAACGCAACGAAATAAAACATATTGAGGCAAACAGCGAGAAAAGGAGAAAAGAAAAAAAAAACAAAAAGCCAAACCCAAACAAAAGTGACCTTAAGCACGCATGTAATGACAAACATTTTGCGTGTCATTGAATTGGAAAAATGTGAGAAAAATGTTTGGTTTTCTTGTCGTTTTTATTTTTCATTTTACGCGTACGAGAATGAAATGCATTTTTGGCAAATTAAAACAAATTTCGGATTTATTGAAGTGTGGTGAATTGTAACAACCGTTGGCCAGCCATATTCCCCACACTCAAAACTGTTTGTAATTAATATAATTTATGGCTGCATATGATGGCTGTCAGCAGATTTGAAATGTATTCAATGACGTCCACAGCGCAAAAGGGTGCATAAAAAGGGAAAGTTAGTTTGTGGAGTCATCTATGATCTTTTTTGAATGCACATTACGTTTTTGGAAAGATTGAATAGAAGATATATGTATATGGGAGTCTTATGTATATCTGATGAAGCATATACATGGGAGCTATACGATTATGATTTTCTCCAAACTTGGTCGATAAGATATATGATATCCTGATATATGATATCCACTCCTACGACAGCTGTTACAATTATTCCAGTGACAGCTAATTATATTGTTTACAAGCGTACAAAAGCATTTTGTTGAGCATTTTCCAAAAAAAAGTTTATCGTGATGGAATTCAAGCGTGATAGTGTGATTTCTTTATATTTGACTGGAAAACCACAAGTGACTATCGCTAGAGCACTCCAGCATTTAAATGTGAATAAATCTTTTGTGTCTCGTACCATCGCTCGTTACCGTGATACTGGTAGTGTAGCCCGACGTCAAGGAAGTGGACGGAAGAAAACAGCCAACATCAGCAAA